CTGTTTTATAGCTTTACTGCCACTTGGAATGTAAGTACATTGCAGACTGTGTTCTTTTACAAACCGATCTCTTAAATTCTTCCACTTTGCCTGGCTTGTACCTGGAGCTGTATCTATGTAAATATAAATCTTATTATAAAATTTAACTTATTAAAAATTTAAATTATTTGAGAACTTTACACAATATTATGTGATGATAATTACATATATATTGATACTTACTCAAACAACCATCTATTTCAGACCATAATGCTTTTGTCTCTGAGGGTCCTCTAAATTTATATGGTAATGCTGAATTCCATAAGCTCTCTCTTTCGAATACTGCTGCAATCAATGCTTCTAAATAATCATTTTTATTTTCAAAATTATTACTAAAAGCAGAGCAATTATGCTCTCCGAGCACCACACTACTACAATCTGGACACCACTGCAAATAAAAGTTAAACAATTAAATCATTGTTTAATAATATAAAATATTCATTTAAGCAGTTACATTAAATGATAATATGCAAATCTTTTAAATATAATAAAAATAAATAATATTATATTGATCAATAATATCATATATCTAACCTAAAATTGTGTACTAGTCGTATAAAATTAATAACTTTATTTTATTATGTTGTAATAATAATGATTATTACAAATCAATAAAAATAATCAATATTTTATTCCATTTGTACTTACAATCATATCGTTATTATCTTCGTTATCATCCATATTATAAGCGGCGAATACCGGATTATCGGAACGCTTTACTGAAAACTTTTCGTATGAACAAGAAGATTCACTAGAAATCACTATATCTTCCTTTACCGCGCGATAAAAGTTGAATCCAGTTCAACATTATACGCGCGGCGGAAGTTATATATCCATTACTTTCTGAAAAGCAAGCATCCGATTGGCCACCGCGTCGCGTCTTGCCGCGCGGCAAGCGTTACCGCGTCCTGTGTGCAGGAGCCATTACTCCTGCTTTCGTCACGCGTTGTTATTTTTTGTTACCGTGCGATCCTCGCTGCTGTCACGCCAAAAGCGTACAGCCCACGGTCTAGCCGCGCGCAATGCGCGATTATTCGTCAATCTTTTTTAAGGGGATCCTAAAGTGATCTGGTTTACCGATTTCTTTTAAATACACTATACTTTTTTTGGCTGTGTAGAATGAAAAATCCTTTTCTGTAATTAAAATACATATACTAATACAGTACAGACGGTCGATTTGAAAGGATTTTTCATTTTATACAGCCAAAAAAAACATTTTACGAAAAATAGAAGGTAAAACAGGTACCGATCTGTTTTACCTTTTATTTTTCGTAAAATTCCTTTTCCCTCCCTTGCCGTGAACGTGTTCCGCCGCTAGAGCTTGTGCTCCGTCTCTCTATTCCTTAGTCTGTGGATTGTACTTACCTGTATTTTATTATACTCTGCCAACACAGTCAAAAGTTTTGAACTTGACTGTACGTAGAAGGACAGCTATACACGACATGTGTTCTCTCTCCTCTCGCGACAAGCGATTCAGTGCCCATTCCAGTATATATGTATATAGTTCAGTGGTAGAATGTCGAAAATTTAGAAAGAAAAAGGAAACTTTGAATAGGTATTGAGTTGAAAAGAGGTAGAGTCGATAGGTAGAGTTGAAAAAAGATAGCAAGTCTATTAAAACATTGCGTTCTCTTTCTAAATTTGTACGCCCATCCTTTAGGCGTAGAGATAGGGAACAAGCAGTCTATACTTACTACGTCAATGGATACAACTGAACATTTCATTATGTTAAAAAAATATGAGTCTATTTATGAAGTTATTTTTTTATATGCAGGAATATTATTTAGCGTCATTTTTAATTTAAATGAACACTATTAATTATGAAATTTTCTTTTTTATTCTGTCATTCTTTAATAATAATTTAAATATACATTTATTGCATTATATTGCAGATAGAAATGTTCATGCAGTGTCAGCACGAATAATTTATGATGAATTAATATAATGAATTAATTATGTTTATTGCTTACTGTTAATAAACATCTCATTATATCTAAGTATCTATAATGTACTATCGCTAAATGGCGGAACTATAAAAAATGACGCATTTGCAACAGAGCATTTGTGGCCGTGGACAATCAACATTTCTTTGCATTTCTTGGAGACGCGATGTCTTTTGGAGACATCCGTGAATATATGTAATAATTTTTATCTAATCTAAATTTTTTAAAATATGTAATTGAACTATTGTAAACCGATCAATAATACAATTAAAATGTTTTTGAGATTCTAGAAAAATACAAAATTAAATATGCATCCTTTATTCCACTTGCGGAGAAAGCATGCGCACGAAGATCATTATTGGATTAATAAAGCCGCCGCATTTGGCACGAGCAGAATAAATCGAATTTCTGGATTTTATTTCATCTCGTCTCATTCTCTGCAGAGTAGAATGATTGACCCGGACGACGATGGGAATATTAATCAGGATTCATTTCAGTTATTCGTGCCGACGCTGCATGAACATCTCTATCTGCAATGTAATGCAATAAATGTATATGGAAATTATCATTAAAGAATGACGTACTGAAAAAGAAAATTCTATAATCAACAGTGTTCATTTAAATTCAAAATGACGTTAAATGATATTTTTGCGTGTAAAAAATAACATAGAAAATTAATATAATTTAGCTAATTCCACTGATCTCCTTTATCATTTGCGGCCACCGACGTGTTTTGTTGAGACGGATACAGAATCCAGTCGTCGTATCCCGATTCCTTGGACCCCCGGCGTAGCAAATTGCTGTCGTATCTCGAGATTTTAAGGATAGGGACATGCATGATCTGAATATCGGATATAAAAATCGTGCAAGGTCCCGGAAAAAAGGCGCGTTCGTGTGTGGGTGGATTTTATGACGGTTGATTATCTGATTTATAATCTCAGTTTGCGCACTCGGAGTCCGTCCGAGGCTCAATGAGGCCTGAGCGAGTTTGCAAATGACGATTGCAAAGACGTAAGAGCGAATACAATTCATATAAACCTAACTTACACAGGTTGCTGATATTAAGAATAAATTAAACACAGTTACTTTTCTACAGCTATTGCAACAGTTATGTACTTATAAGTATTATGATTATGTAAACACCTAGTGAGAAATAACAGGTCGAAAAGACATATATTAGACGCGTATAGCGTTTATAAACATCTGCATAAACACATACCTATATTATAATATTTTATATGTAAAAAATGTCACATACTACTGCGTTTCTTATATTAAATAATTAATTAATTTTTTATACATATGCATAATATACATGCATATTGCAGTTATGCAAATTTGTCTACATAAGTGCTTGATTTTTATTAATGCAAGTAAAGCTTATAATTAACATTGTATATTACAACATAACATTATTAATTACTTATTATTAATTACTAATTACTAATTATTAATTATTAATTACTAATTATTTAAATTAAATTTAAACTAAATTTAATGAGAAAAATATAAATTACATACAAAATTAAAGAAAAAATTAAGAAAGTAATATTATTAACTATTTGACAAAAATAAAATATGAATCTAATAATTGTTATTGGATCCAATAAAATTGATTATTCATCAATTTTATTTTTTTATAAAAAAACAAGTTATAAAAACAAGCAACGAAATATCGTTTATTTTTTCATTAATATGATACTTATTGTTATAGCTACTCTCTAATCATCGTTACTGAAACTATTTTCTACTTTCACGCTCAGGAATGTGAGCGTGTTTCGATTTGCGATACGACAAGTAATTGTATCGATCATAATAAAATCCCGATGGCAATTAGAGTTTCATGAAAAATAAGAGGATTCAAAAAACCGACGCGCTCTGTAGAAACTGTAGAAAAACTAGGCGACAGTAGGTACCTATCGTAAACACGCCCCCGTCATTAGGACCGAAGTTTGAGATTTACTTCGGTCATCTCACTCGTCGCTGCGGCACGGCTAATCAGAGATCGCGGATTTTATGATTGGTGATGCGAGATCGTTAAAGCGATTACGATTATATGCGCCGGGAGGCACGGCGTCTTCTGATAGTCGGATATTCATCAGAGTATCGCCCGGGGACAGAACCTTCGTTCTTCTTATTAATGTGGAATCTGGTATGAAATAAAAAATCGACTAATGATGAGATTTACAACGATGTTCTATCGATGAGCAACAGTGTTACATCCGATTGTAACAAATCGCATCTTTCGCAAATCAGTAAAGAGCCTAACAAGTCAAGAATAGACAATGTCTCGAGTAAATCAATAAATGTAAGAGTCAATCTTTCTTTACTTGTAGGCAGACTCTCGCTTTGACAGTCTTCTTTTAAACAAAAGAAACTTGATCTTTATTGTTTCGGATGGAACCAAAAAGTGATTTAAATTTTCTCAGTAGAGTGAGTTGATAGATGATTTATCAACTATTACTAAACTCGTGAGCTTAAATGATTCAGTCACAATGTGTTGGAGCAAAAAGCTCTTAGAATCTCAATTGAATTTGATGAGAATGTTGAAACATCTCTGAAACATCTTTGAAAGATTAATGTTGGCGAAGTTACGCGGTTTCGATTTCTGCAACTTTAAATTCTTAGGTTTATACCTAATATATCTATTTGCAATGGACATGTTTTTCCATTATTGCTAATGAATTTTTAGTCGACTTTTGGGAAGATTTGTGTCTTTTGCACATGTTATTTTTGTTCAGAATGCTTTCTTTTTATATTTGAAATTATTAATCTCAAATTACACTGTTATGTAAGAAGTTCTGTTATATATGCGATCAAATAATGCGCGAGATAGAAATATACGCCGAAAGATTAACGCTTGTAGTAGCGGCACGACAGCAGAACAGATCGAGGCTGTCTTGTTCGAGGAATACGCATCGATATTACACTTTGCAATTAGAAGCGTGAACATTAAACTGGGGTTTATCGATCTATCTATACACGAAATTGTTCCTTTTATTTGGTAATTTCGTCCACTCGAATTGGCAAGAACACGACAAGTTCCATTTTAATTTTTAAATTTTGTATTTTATTACAACCCTGTTATAATCTAATCTCCGACATATTTCTTTCTCAAGCGTGAGAATGTTGCGTGAAAAAAGAAAGTGAACTTTCTGCAGAAGATATTTTCGAAAGATATCTTGAAAATAAAGAGTTATGCGTGGAATCAGAAAACTCGAATAACGTCCTTGGCGCAAAGTTCAAGTTTCTGTCGCATTGACAAGTTGACCACTGACTTCCCACGTCTGTCTGAGGAGGTGACACACGAAGCCACGAAGTTGACGAATGCACCAAGTTACCACTCGGCCGTGAATGACTTGGCGGATTGTTCGCCGGCATTCCCAGCGGTGGTCCTGCGATGCGCTTGCACGCGGGTTTGGATTGATGGATTCTGACCTCTCAAAGGAGTGTTTCAGCACGCCTTTCGGGATATGATAGATTCGTGCGCACTGGTACAGACCCTAATACGGACTTAGGGATCACGTGAGAATACCAATACATACCAATCGATCCATCAATCTATCTTATCTATACCTTCGCTAAAATATAAAAATTTATCAATTTTTTATTTACGAAATTTAGAATTGAAAAATTTTTGTATTATAAAAAATTTGTTATTTTCTGGAAATACAACTGTTGCATGTGTTTTCCATATCGAACTGTTTTAAATTTAGCTAATACAAAGATACACGATATAAAGATGCTATCACGCTACTCGCGACATTGAGTACTGTTTACAGTTAATTTACTGTGCCATGGCGTGCGCTATCTTGTATTCGTTGGTGGTCCAAGGTATCAAAGATCTCAAT